GTCTTGGCGGAGGTTTGCACTCTCCGAGTGCTTCAAATTTTATATGAATTTTATACGCTGTTGATTTATATGAAATATTTGCGTGAACAATGTACTCCATCTGTTATTTAAATCAACTGTTATTTAAAGGATTTTAAAAAGTTTAAATTTTATGTTCATCTGTGTGAAAACTGTCTATATTCAGAACGAAATAATTTTACTCTCCTGAGGCCTTGTCATACTTTCCACTCCCACACATTAATTGAAGCTTTGATCTTGCTGAAAAAAGGAAGAAAAAAGAAAAAATCTTGGCTTGCGTCTGTTCCCATGTGGTAATTGGTACAGTAAATGATTTCCCAGTGACACTGCAGGTCAGTCCAGTTCAGACGCTCTCTCCATAGTTACTGGGGAAAGTGTGTTTGTTGTAGACTGTCATTAAGGTCTCTCGGTCTTTTCCTGCTCATCATTATGTAATAAGGTACTAAGAAAACACATTTAGACGTTGTGTTTATGTTCTGGCTTCAAATCAAACTTATTGACAAAGGAATGAAATGTCCAAATGTGGCACTGTTGGTTTAATTTAACATTTTATGAGCACATACACAGATAGATGTGTTTGTTAGTAGAACTACAATGGTGGGGGACAATTGGAAGCACAGATTTTTGTGATATTTACCTGTATGGTATGAATATAAACACACTGAATGCAGAAAGGAGATGGAAGCAATTGAATATGCTAGATGGTAAAAAGTCAAACATATGTCAACAAAGTGAAGAAGGTGTTTAATGTTTAATTCAATCAAAATCCTGTGGTCATTTTTTTTCTATATGAACATTGGAGTCATGTCAAAGCAGGACACGATGTACTTATGTAACTTGTATTATTTTTAGCCCTCTATCTAATGCACTTCAAAATACAGAACATTGGTATAAAATTTGACAACCAAAACTAGGGCAAATAATTAAACACGAACGACAACAGATGCAAGGCAAAATTCCTAGACTTGTCTAGCTTGATTGCTGGAAAATCCCCATTTCACAAGCAGTGTTTGATTCAGAGGGAGCCCTCACAGATCAAACACCTCCCAATTATTGGTGCTCACAACGTCTTCAGTGTAATCTGCTTCAAGTTGTCAATAATGAAATAAAAAGAAAAGAGGACACGGCAGTTYAGTGTGCTCCTCCTGGCAGAGGTCAGAGGAGGATACTTTCTATAAATACTCTACAACTGCCAGACCAATAAGCCAAAATTAGAACCAGAACATATCAAAATGCATCAACAAGCATTTGCTGTGTGGTACTGTGGCAGAACTGTGATGCGTTCAGACCATTATGAGGGTTGAAGGAATGAGGCCACACCTTGTCATGGCAGGTAATATCTGTGGGTAATCGACTAATTATTACTGGCAGGCTTGTAATAGGCTCGCATTGTGAAGTTTGGTGTATCACACACACAGATTAGTCACAACACAGGAGCCTTTGTGAACAACATCAATAACACTGGTCCATGACTGCAGCAAATTCAAATTTTGTGGACAGGGGGACAAAAATGCCATAAAGAGGAGCTCATTGCTCGTCCGATCGTCAGCGTTCAGCTTTGACTTTGATCAGCCGTCCATAAAACCTGTCCAATCCATGGAGGCCCCTTATACCTTGCAGAACCTAAAGGTCACTACTCTTGTTGTTCTTTGAGTTTCAAAGTGAGCAGCATTTGGTCATTTAGGTGCTGAGTTTTGAAGTATTAATAGTTTTTCCCCCTTAGATCCAGTAATTTAAATTATTGAAAAATGGGGTGTATTATGTATTTTCCAGGCACAGATGTTTCTATACCACGATCAAGTAACTCTCACCTCCAGTTGTTGTGAAAATGTTCTATATATAAAAAATAAATTTGACTTTGCATAAGCTGCGTTTTCATTGCAAATGTGTGCAAAACTTTGTCGAAATTCTGTTAATGTCGAAAAACACAGTTTCGCAACTGCTGTGTTTCCATTAAGTAAGAAATGCTATTAAAGTCACGCGTGAATACGTTTGTTCTCGCGATAAGTCATTACAAACATGGTGGCAATGGATGTAAACAAATAGCACATTGCTACCGCAACACTAGCGCTCATCATCAGAGGAGACGTCGGCATCTTTTATCGAGGCTTTCCAGTGACAAACCCCTACTTGGGAGCGGCTATGTCTGCTGTGTTTTTGGGAAATTGTAGTCGGTGAGTTTAATACTTTCTTTTACAACTTCTTTGATATTACTACTATTTCTACTTCCTGTTATTTTCTTTTTCGTCGTCTTTATCTCCAGTAGAAACAGTCGGTTGTTGGTCACGTGACTCCCGTGATGCAACAAAAGTGTTTCCATTGCAGTTTTTTGAAAAACACCAATTTCAATACGGCCGAAAAACCACCTCATCCTAGCGCAAAAACATTTTGTCCAAAAACATATATATTTTTAAATTGACGTGTTTCCATTGAGCAATTTTTTTTCAAAATTCTAATTTGCGCATTTTCATGATCAGTGGAAATGCAGCTAGTGTTTTATCTAAACTTTGAAATTGGCCTTTGTTGCTTTAACAACATCCTACCATTTCTGACACTCCCACTTCAGCACGTCTTCACAGCAATGCTTCAGGGGAGGGATGCTCTGTGGGGCGGGGCCTCAGCTGGTGACTGAGCTCCAGGGAGGAGCTTTGTGTGCTTTGTACCAGCGAGTGTTTAGGCAGCTCCATGTGAGATTCAAGGACTTCTCAAACATGCATAAATGAGTTAAAATGACTCATTGGATATCTTTTTGATAAGTAAACATTATAAATGATGTAAAGCTCAAAAAAAGTTCATTTTACATAATACCTCACCACCACTACCAAAAAATTGTAATAATAATTTGCATTTTCCAAAATAATAGAAAAGTTAATTTGTAAAAAGAAAAAAAATCAAAGGGGGGGATATTTCTAGTTTTTATATTTATTTTTACTTTTTAGCATAGGTTGTAGGTGCACATTGTTTTCACATCATGTCATAAATATGATGGCCTTCCTCTATTTTTCACAGTCTGGGAACAAATTCCCCTATTTCCGTCTCCCCCTGTGTAGGCCATCTGCAAAACARTGTGCTTATACTTTTTGTTAGAAACTGCCAAAAATAAAAAAGTGAACTGCATTTAGAATCTCATGCATTTGAGTCTGTCTTAATCTGCTGGGAGTGATCTTGACCAGCTCTCTCTCAGGACAAACATAAACATCTTAGCTGGACTTCTACCAAGATCCACTACGGCTGCTCTGCTTGGTTCCAGTCAAGTTTTCATAAGCAGGTGTCATCTTTCCAGTGACCATGAGTTAGGTCGCGTCTGTTTGAAAATAGGACTAGGGTCAGCTCGGTCAGCCAGATCGAGATGTTTTTTTCTTCTCTTTCGTCTTTTACACACGGTCCATTTCTTTGTGAACAACAGGTCTGCTGTTTCCAAGTTATAGCTTTAAAAATGGAGTATGAGCTAAACAAAGCTGCAACTTTACTCAAACTAAGATCTGGACTTCATTTTTAAAATCTTTATCAAGCTTAGCGACGTGGTTTTGTTGTAAAATTCCATCGTGCATTCCAACCAGTGTGCTTTCAAAACAGACAGAGAGATGACTRAAGCCAGTTAAACATGGTCCAGTTCACTCCTGGTTCACATGCTGTCACCTCCCTTACAGCTCAGCTGCAAATTGGTACCTGTGAAAGGCAAAACATTACATTGTGAGTTTTTTTTATGCAACTACAAGAGAAAGATGCCGCTGCATGTGTGTACATAATCTTAAAAAGGTTTACGGATGATTTAATTGAGATTATAGCACAATTGCAGGCTTGGTCTGAGATTTAGAGCTTAGCTGCTGCACAAAAAGCTGACAAGCTTAAATCCSTTTGGCTTGTTTGCTTTCATATCAATGAAGAGACGACCAGTAAGCTCGTCATAAATAGATCCATTGCTTTTGTCACATCAGAGAAATTTCATTTTATTTTATTTTTCTCACATCAGCATCTTTTTCCTGTTTAAGTCACACTGAACATTTGGATTTTTGTAACTGCAAGAGACAACAAATTGACTTTGAGATAACAACATATGTTTAAAAAATGTGCTTATGCTTTTAACTTATATGCCTTTGAAGCCAATCACTTTCTTTTTGCTTACTTAAAGTAGTGTAACCTTAGTTGTAACATTAGACTTTATTTGATGAACATATATTTTAACTGTAAAATAAAGACAAAAAATACTGTAGGCTGTTTAGTTTTGTACGGAGCCATTTTATTTACACATAAAGCATTCTGGGTAAATGATGACGTGGATAGGTCCTCGGTATGAGCGAGCTATATCCACCCTGAAGGTTAATCTTGGACAATATCTGACGATCGACTCTTTTAATTTAATGAAACCAGAGAGCGTTGACAGAGAGGAGAAGGTAGAAACGACTCACCCTGTAACTGAAAATATGGATGGAGGACAAC